GTTGGAGGTTGCTGTGAGCGTGATGCCATGGCACTCTACCCAGGGGGATAGCTTGAGGCTCCATCTCAAAAAAAAAAAAAAAAAAAAGACTACAGGATCAAATGGGAGATCTAATTTGAGTTCTTTGAGAATTCTTCATACTTCTTTCTAAAGAAGACATATTAATTTTCAGTCCCACCAACAACGTAAAAGTGTTCCCCTCTCTCCACATCTACACCAGCATCTGCAGCTTTGGGAGTTTGTGATGTGGGCCATTCTCACTAGGGTTAAGCATTATATTAGGGTGGTTTGATTTGCATTTCTCTGATGAGTAAGGACAATGAGCATTTTTTCATATGTCTGTTAGCCATTCCCTTGTCTTCCTCAGAGAATGTTCTGTTCATGTCTCTTGCCCAGTGATAGATGGAATTGTTTGCACTTTTTTGTTGATTAATTTGAGTTCTCTGTAGATTCTAGATTCTACAACCCTTTATCAGATTTTTAACATGTAAATATCTTTTCTTATTCTGAAGGTTATCTGTTGTCTTTAATTGTTGTGTCCTTAGCTGTGCAGAACCTTTTCAGTTTAATTAAGTCCCATTTGTTAATTTTTGTTGGTGGTATAATTGCCATGGAAGTCTTCTACATAAAATCTTCCCCCAGGCCAACATCCTCAAGAGTTTTTCTCATACTTTCTTGTAGGATTTTTATCATTTCATGTCTTAGATTTAAATCTTTTATCCATCTTGAGTCAATTTTTGTAAGTGATGAAAGGTGTGGATCCAGTTTCAGTCTTTTATATGTAGTTATCCAGTTCTCCCAGCACCATTTATTGAATAGGGATTCTTTTCCCCAGTGTATGGAAGGGATCTTTTTCAAGCCCCCTGTGGCAGGAAGGTCTCTGTCCTAATACAAGCCCACTGGTGGCCTCCCCTACAAAAGTCTCTTACCTTTTTTTTGAGACAGAGCCTCAAGCTATCCCCCTGTGTAAAGTGCGGTGACATCACAGCTCACAGCAACCTCCAACTCCTGGGCTCAAGGGAGTCTCCTGCCTCAGCCTCTCAAGTAGCTGGGACCACAGGCGCCTGCCACAACGCCCAGCTATTTTTTGGTTGCAGCCGTCGTTGTTCTTTGGCGGGCCCGGGCTGGATTTGAACCCACCACCTTAGGTGTATGTGGCTGGCACCTTAGCCACTTCAGCCACAGGCGCCAAGTCAAAAGTCTCTTACCTTATCCTCACTCCCCAACCTTCTACCCATGGGCAAAGGCTACCCCAGGATGGGGCAGAGAAAGAAGTGGGAAGGCAGGGATCACACCCACCATGTATCCCAGCTAGCCTGCACCTGGAAAGCCCCATTAATGCTATCAGTCTTCCCTGCACCTGCCAGTAGTATGGGTTTGAAACTCTGAGCAGGCATCTTAGGGCTTGTCCCAGTGTCAGGATGATCTGAGGAAGAGCCCAGGCTCTTCCACCTCCAAGCTGGATGATCTAGCAGGAGTCATAACCTCTCCCAGCTGCTATGTTCTTAATTGTATAATAATCATAGTATTCCTGCAATGATGGGGGAGGGGAAATTCTGTGAGGTATTAATTCATGTCAGAGCTTGATGTTGAATTGCCACATAATATGAAATAAGTGACTTTGTACTTCCTCTACTCCACCACTCTCCACTGGCTTTCTCTGCTCTGGCCATATTGACTTTCTTGCTGTTCTTTAAATAAGAATGGGCCAGGCACACTCCCATCTCAGGACTCTTGCTGTGGCTGTTGTCCCAATGTCCAGTTGGCTTAATACATCACTTCCATCAGGACTTTGTTCAAGCATCATCATCTTATTATGCCCT